GGAGGACTTGACCAATCAACCTGCCACTTGTGACAAGGCGTATGGCCACCTGCTAACCAGCTCGTCAATACCTTTGTGGAGAGCACAATGTCCCCCCCCCCCCCCCCCTCCCCGCCTCTTCCCCCAACACCCCTCCCACGCCCCAACCCCCTAGAAATCATCTTCCCCCCTATCGACTACAGCTCAGAATAAATTTGTCGTTCGAATGCACAACACAAAAGGACAAGGGTCAGAGGACATCTAATCACAATGGGGGCTGCATGCAACTGAAGGTGAATTCGCGAATGGAAGGTGAATTCACAAACGGTGAATTGTTTCCCAGTTGCAAGAGTCTTGTGAGATCAGCGGGCCGGAGGTCCTGCCCGACAAGCTCGGAGTTGGTGGATCCGACCCATCAACCTGCGACTTATCGTGCGAAACGCCCGGCCCTCTGACAAACCTGCCAGCACCTTGCTGAGAACAGAGGAGAGATGACTGCAAGATCAATTTATGGAAAAAGAATCATGGTGACTGGACACAACATCCGTGCCAAATAAAATGAGTTCTAGAGGTCGACACAGGAAAAGGGTATTGAACAACAAAAAATGGTAGGGGTCCTGTGGTATACGTGGGGTGTGGTCCCGAGCCGTTCGAGAGTTATGGAATAGACATGCCTAGCCCTTTCCAGGCACAATTGTGAGTTTATGTTCGGTACATGTGTTGAAGGAAAAGAATGTTGAACCCCCCCTTTTTTTTTTTCTTTTTTTTTTTTTTCAACAAAAACACCCCCCTGCAATGCTAGAGGTGCTGATAAGAGCAGACACCACTAGCACCCGGGGAGGGGCTCCATCTATTGGTGGGGAGCATCACCTGCTGGAAAACGGGTCCAGCGTCCCATTGCAGATTGTAAATAAGATGAGAACAGGCTGAAAGAGAGGAGATAGCTGTGAACCCTGCCAGCACTGATTACTCTGGCAACCAGAGGATTGACTGCGCAGGTTGCTAAGGGAGGGGAGAGAACCTCTTCGCCCCAGTACCAGGCGCCGGATGTCCATTGCTAAAGAACTAGTTCCTCTCGCCCTCCTTGAAAAAACTGAGTACAAAAACTGAGTAAAACCCAGTGCCAGATGTCTGCTGCTATATACGAATTCCTTGATACGCTGAGCAGACCCGTACCACTTTCTGATTTTCTGTTGTAAAGCTTCGCCTGTTGGAGATCGGGTCCAGCATCCAGTTCCACCCTCACCAACCATGTCTCTTCGTGTCTCTTCCGTGTATCTTCACACAAAGGCTGATACTGTTCCAAGGCCGTTGAGCAGGGGAACATAGAATGAGTGGGGTCCTCCCCGGGGGGCTCCAGGGAGGGATGTGAGGGTCATGGGGCACATTTATGACAACACTTCCGCCAGGGACAGACCGTGGGGTGGGAAGGGATCTGGGAAATCGAAGGGAGGGCGTAATGGGAACGAGGTTTCTATATTAGTCCAATCTTTGAAAACTAAATGGTAATCTCTCATTCCGTCTAATTCTCTCAGCCCTTCTCCCTGATCCCCGCTCCATTCTACCTTTGCAATCCATCCCTCCCTTTCCCCTCCTAACCAGTCAGAGCAAAAAGTCGTGATTCGTCTCCTGACATCTCCCATTTGCCTGAACTGGTCCAGTTGTGTTTTTGTGTCCAACCATCTATGCATGAGCTCAAGGTGAATTTGCTGCGGAATCTGTTCAGTAATTTTTGCGCCCTCCACCCGTACCTTTTCCATCGCCAAAGTGGATCTTTGCCACCATAGTGCCCATATCACTGCCCTCCTTCCCAGTCTGTACATATTCCCAACAAAGGTCGAAGTTGTTCCTGCCAACAGCCAGTGTCCTGCCAATATGGCTTGCCATGACCAGGGCCAGGAGATGTCTGGTTCCATTTTCCTCCATATGTGGTCCCACCATCTCCATATGTATTGTGCAATTGGACACTGCATGAAAATGTGTTCAATAGTTTCTGCCTTCTTGTGGAAGGGAAAGAGGCTCTGACATCGCTGACACCATGGAAGCAACAAGCCTTTTTGTTCAAGGTTTGTACTGCCAGTCAACCAGTCGTTGGTTGGCAGGCAGCGGTGGGCTATCTGCCACTGCAGGGAGGTAATCTTCATGGGTTTGTGCTTTTGTTCTTTAAACCATTTAATTGGAGTTAGGAGAGCGAGATCCACATTTGATTGTCTTGCCCATCGATCATTAATTGTGTCCCTTAGACGCCGTTTGGGTCTCAGCATTTTATAGACTGTCTTGACCAAAAGTTGGTGCAGACTAGTGCGACTTGTCTCGGGGGGATTCCTATTTGGGGGGGATTGCCAGACCCATTCCACTGGGTCCAAGGCCATATCTTGGATTGGCTTGTCTGGCTGGAACGCCACTTTCTGTCCTTTTTCTTTGATTACCCTCACCCGGTATGTTGATGCTCTATCCTTCCATTCGAAGGGAGTTCTAGTCCCTTGGAGGGTGCCTGTATTAGAAATGTCGTAGGACTCAACTAAGACAGTTTGGTGTGACACTGTATGTATCAATCCTACTTTCAGCGGGGTCTCTGAGTTTGCAACCCAATCACCTTCTCTCAAGGAGGGGCCACGTTTGAGGATTCGGTACCATTCTAGAGGGATGGTCTCGATAAGAGTTTCCAGTGTTTCCTCAATGTGGTGGCCATATCTTAAGGTTGCCCGCAACTGTTCCCCTGTTTTCCAGTCCTGCCTCTCATTGTCCCATAAATCTCCTACCCTAAGTATGTCGTGCTTAACCCAATTCTTCCAGGGTGAAGTTGAGCTCGTCATAACCCAGCCCCTTGTGTCTATCACCCATCTATTCCCAAAGAGGGGTTGGCGATGAACCTCCTCCCAACGGTCAGGGCAGGTTTTGTCTGGGAGTGGGAGTTTGTGTCATGTTTGCAACCGGGATGGCCAAAATTTGTCCAGCCTTTGACCGCCACCCTCCTCCTCCTCCCTTCTACGTGGAAGTTTACGTGGGATTGACCAGAATCGGTCTTCCAGCCAAGTCAGTGGGTGGATCGTATGGTTGGCAGCCGAAGCCAAATGGGCGAAGTGCTCTAGGGCTAGAACACACCACGGGCTTTGCGGGGCCAGCATTAGTTTTTTTATCCATTTTATTTGCAATGCCCGTGCCTGCGTGGCCAGGTCGAGAATTCCCAAATCTCCTCCTACTTTTGGTTTAATAATCGAATCCCAGGCCACCCGACTTATCACATTCTCCAGCTCTCCATCCCCTCTCCACAAGAAGGCGGCTGCCTTTTTCCTTAAACTCCTCAAGGCCGTTTTGCTCAATGGCCACAGCAAAGACTTGTACCAAAGGGATGCAAAGACCACATTATTGAGCGTCAGGGTCCGCCCGAAAAGGGAAGTGGGTTTATTTTTCCAACTGCTTAGTTTGTGCAGGGTTGGGGTGCAGATCCATTCGTCGTTGGCTGGTGGTTGTCCTCCTGCCGTCATGGATACCCCTAGAATTCTTATTGGGTTCTCTAAAGGCATCCATGCAATGCGTGGTGTTTCAGGGGGGCGCCCGACATCATCTCCAAACACACAACTCGTCATTCCTGTCAATCCCCTTCCAGCCATTATTGTGAACATATGGCAAAGGTGGCTCATGAACCTTAAAGTGACTCCTAAGAGGTGAGGAGATGAGCTAAGGAGCACCAAAAGATGTGCTTGCAAATTTGAAGTAGAATGCCACAGTCCTCAACTCATAATTAAATCGCATATGCCATGTGAGAACTTGAACCAACAGAAAAGTCTCGAGCAAGTTTTCCCAGAGGCAAAGAGTGAATTGGGTTGTTAGAGAATGTAAACATCGCAGAATCCTTTTTGGTTGTCTGTCTCAGAGAGGTTGGAGGAGGTTGATGTATTGGTGATGACAACCCTCTTGAAGTGCCTAAGAGTCAACCGATAATGGTCAGGAGCGTCTGATGCATTAGTATAAGGCTATATGTCTTTCAGTACGACAATGACTTGACATGCCGACCGCCTAAGGATGGCTATTAGAAGGCGTTTGCTCACACAAAGTACAATTCAGGTTGTCGCTCTTGAAGCAGTAGTATAGAGCAAGATGTATTTCGGCACAACAGCGACTTGACGTGTTGGCCGCCTGCAGATGGCTATTAGAAGGCAGTTGTTGAGTACACGAGCGGATTTGGTTTGCAATGTCGCCAGTATAGGAGGGTTTTGCCTGTGTTTGATGGAGACCCGAAATGCGAGTTGCCAGTATAAGAGGGTTCTGCCTGTGTTTGATGGAGTCCTTACATTGCGGATTTGGTTTGCAATGATGCATGTATGAAACCATGTATGAAATACATTCAACTATTTGCAAGGTCGTGCATCAAACATCATACAAAGTCGAAGCCATAAGCCCTTCACACATCGCTCGCTTGCAAGGTCGTGCATCATATATGACAAGATTGGCAAAGTCGTGAAGCCTATACATCCGTTTTGGCGATAACATAAACGCTGCCACCAAGTGCAGACATCCATTCCCGCGATGACATAAGGGTCGATCCGCCAGGCGAAAACATCCATTGTGGCGATCAGATATCAATAAACATTTTCAAGTTCATGCAAGTAATAAATATCTACAATCCACACTATGAACTATGAAACTGTACATGAGAAAGTCGAAGATATCTACACTTGCTGAAAAGTAACAAATGTTTTTGGAGTCTTACATACTGGACTCAAAATCTATTTACATTACAATAGAAATGTCATAATCATCCATTTACACCTTGAAAACAACTTCAACACTCTTCACATGCTAAAGTCTTTACGTTAACACCTTGAAGACAACTCTGACACTCTCCACCAGCCGAAGTATTTACATCACTCCCTAACCCTACATCGACAACCAATAAAAGCAACGACTGATGAACGTTCTAGGATTTCGTCCATGGACAAAGGCAACTTAAAGGCTGAAATATTCACATCAATCACTAACCTTAGCACGATAACTAGTCTCCAAGGAAAACTAAAACCAACAACTGATCAACGGAAGCAACCCTTAGTTGCAAGCTGAACAAGAAACAAACTTTGTAGGATCCCATCCATCGTTGAAGGGAAGGCTAAAATATTGACATCAATCACTAACCTTACCTCGACCAGTAATCCTCAGGGAAACTACAATTGAGCAATCAAAGCAACCCTTAGTTGCCTTAAAACAGGAGGCCCGGAAGACACCAATGAGAGGCTCATGACCTGCCTCAGATTATGTCCACTGCAATCCTCCACCTTATGCTCGGTATGTCACCTTGGGCGATTGGGAAGGGTGGCGGATAACCTCGGGCCAGAAAAGATGCGAAGGACCGCATGAAAACACCACAGCTCAACCCGTTGGACTGTTGAGGAACAACGTCTAGAACTACACAAAAGGCGTTCTTTCCGAAGGTACAGGTACGTCGAATCCTAATATCCACTTTTTGAGAGATATAACTGGCAACGTTGTTCAGTACGGGGGAAGAGAAATCACGCTCTTCTCGGAGAAGGGAGTCGAAGTATTCGAACCCATGCTTTTGAAAATGGATGGACAATAAGGTTCAGACCGTCCAGTGCTCCTCATGTTTGTGAATGGGGAAGAGTAGCATGTTGTACACGGAAATCTTAACATCTTTTGCCCATTTTTCACAGCATCATGGCGACAGCCCCTGCAGACGAAATTTCTATAAGAAAAAGGACTAAAAATATAAATAGTCAAAGATTCCTCAACGACAGTCTTTGCAAGGAGAAGCAAGTAGAACTCACAATATAGCACACAAAGAGATATGCGAGTGCTACGAGTATCCACAAACCTTAGCCTCATAATGAGTTCTTCAACGGGTGTCCCTATGTTCGTCTTCCAATTTCCCCGTGTCAGCATCTTTGTCGCCCTCTCCTTTTTTCTCCTCTGTGTCGGCGGCTATGGAGGAAGGGATGACCTGCACCGACCCCACAGCCGAGTCGCTGATCAAGACAATGTCCCTCCCAAGGACAATGGGTATGGATCGAGAATCACAAGTGTCCACCTTATCATCCATGGGCAGAGAGCTGCAAGCATCCTTCACACAAGCGGTCATGTCATCCCCCAACGCCCAGCACCTTCACCCACTTGCAATGTCAACGGTGACTCATTGCTATGGGCCTCTTTAGTCTCTTGCAAGTCCACGCTCAAATCACCACCCAAAGAGCCTTTTTGAAAGACGTTTTGTGGCTCCTGCACACCGATGGTCATGTCGTCCCCCAAATGGCCAGCTTCCTCCCCTTCCTGTCTGCGTTCGACGAACATAGATGGATCGCGGTTATCATCACCTACTTGCATTGGAAATAAAAAGTCGTCGCGGAGAACCTTTTCGGTCTCATCGATAACTACTCTCATTCATCATGCAAAGTCCCAGTTTCGTTTCCATGTCGTCGGCGTTCGATGACCGTCGACGTGTCGCCTTCAGTCCTCCCTGGCACGACGCAAGCACCACCCATTTCGATGTCCTCTCCTGAGGACATGACACCCTTCAATGAAACCAAATGTCTACGCTTGGTGACACAATCTTCAAATTGGGATGGTATCTTGCGATGGGGTTGCACTTCAATTGTAACGACCGCACTCGACAACAGTGTAGTGTTCCCTTGCGGCAACTGTCTTGCGATGTCATTGCAGCCGCGCCGCAAGGAGGGTACTTAATAGAAGTCCTAGGTTCTTCGGGGATAGCCATTTCAATGTCCGCGGGTTATGCGTCAAACAATCCCGAAGTTGCCACAGTGGCGTCAAGTGCCGCTGGCGTACCATAGGCATGTTCGTCGGGGGAGATTTCCACTTCCTGTATGGCTGTCTCCAAATCCACAGACTCCGTGTTCGACGCCTGATGCCCTGAGTGACGATGCTCTAATCCTTCCTCAGGCCCCTCTAGCATTGCTGCTTTAGAGGAATCCTTGAACCGAACATGAGAGAGTGGCAAGGAACATGCGAGCGCCAGGGCGGTCGTCTCATTCACGTTGCAACCCAATGTTGTGGTACTAACAGGATTGATGATAGAACGCCCACAAGGCGAAGTAAGTGAGTCCGAATTCATTCGGAGTTTGTGTTCAATCCTAGAGCTATTTGACGTGACACTCCCACCTTCACTAAACTTAAATGCAGGCATTCGGCGTCCCGACAAAAGGAGGCCGTTGTTCCCACAACAGAGTGAACTTCATGTCCCGACGATCCCGCCACAGCCTCTACATGATAACCTTGCCCCTGCGGAGGCATTGCAGTGTCCTCACCGGGCTGCATACGGTGGCCTCTGCTCCCTTCAACTGTAGGCTGTCCCTCTGTAAACAAGGCTCGCGCAAGGAAAGGCGAATTAACTCGCATTTTGTGAGAAACACTCCTTGGCTTTGTGCTGGTGCCCTAACCAACTCTTATTCCTGAACCTGACCTCCCTTCAGCATCGCTTGGCAATGCCCTAGACCCGAGAGGATGCGAGCCTCTTCTCTTGCCGCGTTTTTTGCACGACCCCTTTCCGCTCGACCTTTTCCACGTAACCCCTTTTTGCGCGGCCCCTTTCCGTTAGACCCCTCCCCGTCTGACCTCCTATTGCCCGATCGCTCAGTGCCTCCTTCGCCCTCAGAATGTTGAGGACCGGATCCAGAAACGCCTCCACCCTGATTTGTCTTATCACTTCTCCGATCATCGCCATGTGGCGGAGGCGGAGGCATGCGCCAAATCCTTTTGCCAAAAGACGTTCACGAGTCTAACGTACAAAAAGGGGCACGATACTCCAGCATACCGTCGTCGTAGAGCCCATCGATCAGTTGGTTTGCGTAAGCTGTAACATCCTCATGGCGCTTGTCAAGGTTCATGGTAGTCAAGTGTTCCAGGAGTGCTTTTTTGGCATGTTTCATGAATCGGGCTCTGCCCACTCGCTCAAAGGTGCTCCATGTACCGTTTGCTCGCTTCATTGCGACGACCCACTTACCCTGCTTCGCGGCAGGTTGAAGCTTTCTAGGGTGCCAGACAACATTGTGACCCCATGTTTTCTCTCTGTTGAACTTGTGATGCTTCCCAAAGAAGTAAATCCTATCAGACCTCCAACTTTCGTGGTCCTTAGGGACCGGGTCGCAAGGTGCATAGGCATAATCGCGCTCTCCTTCTCCATCGGGCGACTGCTCTTTCGTTTCGTCGGAACGAAACATTTGCTTCAACCCCTTTGGGGATGCGGTGTATCTCCGCGAACTGCCTTCTTCTTCGTCACCAATGCTTCCCACAACTTGGGGAAGTGGCTTGGACGTGAGATCCAACTTTTCGGAGTCGCTCAACTTCTCCAAGTCTTGAGAATCAAAAGTGTCCAACTCGTCAAACTGCAACTTGTAGTTTTCGAGCGTCAATGGCTCACCTAATTCGAAGAAGACATGTTCTAGATTTTCGAGGAAGCTGTTCACCGCATTTCTGGGTGCTCCATGGTAACCCTTCAGCACACCGAATACCAGATTCCGTTGTCGGCTGTAGTCCAACTCTTTCGGACCATTCGGGTCGGAACCGAACAGAAATTGTCAAACCTCTGACTTCTTCTTCTCGAACAATTTCCAGTTGAGATCTCTTTTTGGATCCTAGTTCCGTTCAGCAGCAGCCTTGACAAAACAGCACTCGTTACGAGTGTCCCCTACTTGTGTCTTGACATACTCGATAAGGTAGTTGAGCAGCTTTGCGTTCTCCTCCGGTGCTACAGCTTTCCAACCGCTTCGCAGGATCTCCCACACGACGGATGCATCGGCTTTCACGAAGAAGAAAACTGTTTGTCCGACTCTGCAGAAGTTTTTAAGAAGACCAAGGAGATGTGTAGGATTCCATGTCCCCGTAAACAGCTCCACGAGCAATCGAGACGCCGCCGTCCTCCTAGTGGCTGCCACGAAGCTTATCCATCAAACGAGTCCACAATCTGTCCCGAGGGGTACGACGTAACGACAACTTTGGAGCACGACCCCCCCACCGATTTCAATGGACTCACACTCTTCCGCAGGGCCTTCGGCGGGTTCCCAACTGCGGGGAACACGGCCTCCGTATTATTTGTCATGTTCTCGCCGTTGAAAAAAATGTATAGGCGGTCGTTGTCTTCAACAAGTATATTGCCATCGAGGATAGTGTCCTTCTTTTGTGAATGGCATACCCACTTCCCTGTCCTCAGGAGGTGTGCGTTCCGCTTTCCCAAGCCTTGCAAGAAACTGAGCTCCCACCTTGAAGGGAAGAACACCACAAGCACTAGTGCAACAATGACATGGTTTGGAGCACGCCCTGTAAGGATGCAAAATCATCTTCTTGCTAGTCTGACAAAGTGTGGGATCAAACAAGTCCAAGACATACACGTTGCAAACAAGTTGGCGCAAGATATCGTGGATCGCTTTAACAGGAATATAATCTTGCGAAGGAGGATGACCGAAAGGATTAAGGCTGGTCACGTGATTAACCTTCTGCCATTTGATGTGTTTCGCGCCTTCGGCTCCGCTAACCCGCCAGATATCCTCGACGTCTTGCTGCGTGCGTCTTAGGATAGAGAGGATTGACTTTTCAAATTGCTTCGGGAACTTGTCATGCTTGTATAGTTCGATTGTATCATTCAATGACTCCTTCTCCGTTCCGAGTTTATGCTTGCAAGTGCTTACATAGTCCATTTTGTCGAGGGCGTATTTCCTCTTATCATCCCACAACTTCTTCGTCAGCCCCTGCGATCCAAACTCCGCCATATGTTGTTCTTCAGTGCGGAACCACTCGCTTTCCGAACACCAAACTGCCTCGTCTTCTTTTGTCTCCATAAGCAAGATGTAATGGAACAGGCGAAGCATGATCCGATCCACCTTCGCCCTCGCAACCATATCTTTAACACACGGCTTGAGTTGTCTTTTCAGCGTGTCACCATCCGTTTGCACGAACACTGCCTTAAGCGCGATAACATCTTCGATGATAGACAACTTTTCCTCATTTGTCATACCGGCAAGCGCATGATAGCAGAACATGTCCCGCTCCTTGACTATCATGAAAAACTTGTCGTCCTGCTGCGTCGGCTTCTTCTTGCAGGGAAAGCCGGCACCAGCCATCCCATATTGGTCTCACCAACTGCCCCTTTCACGCTGCTTTCCGGAATGGCTTGAAGCCAATGATTTGTCTGGCATGTATTTGTCGGGTCTGGACAACGATGCCGCCCCATCTCCACACAACAACTTCCCCTGCGCCCACTTGTCATAGAACTTCATCGCTGTCTGGAACACCTTTTCGTCCGCCTGGACGAGCGGCATCCACTGTCGCAGAGGAACTCACTTGTTCTTTCTCATGTATTTTCACAGACTCCGCCAACTTCCACTGAGGTCCGATTGGGCTCTTGGACAACAACATTTTTTGGAACTCGAAATAATCTTCTTTGTCCTTCGACTTACCATACGGGTTTCCTTGAATATCCATCGGTCTTCCCTTTTGTTTCCACAACTCTCGCATGTCCTCGAGGGCAAACTTCTACAAACGCTGCAAACCTTGCATGTGGCTCGTGTGCTCCCCTAAACTGATCTGAAAGTACCCACCAAAGTCCTCATCGGAGAACCACACGATCCTCGTGGGCCACTTATGTATTTTCCATGCTTCCCAAGTGGGCTCGCCAGCTAGCTGCTTCACAGCGGCCGTTGTGTGTTGCCCACTCACAGCATAGAACAGACAGCTGTCTATCGCATCGTCCTTGAAAGTTGTCCAATGAATTTGCTAAGCTATCTCCGGTTCCTACTCCACCTCCTTGCGGATGGGTGCCAGGACCATAGTTTGTTTCTCCCAAACACTGTTGGGCTCTGTGTGATACATGTGCAGCATCGAGCTCTTGATCTCATCCACATGGTTCTTGTCGAGGCTGCGGTAATTATAATTGTGTTCCCATCTAGGAATTTCGCAAACCCTCCTCGGGTCGATGAGAAGTCTCTGAGGGTCATTCATCAACACGTACTCGCTGCGGTTGTTAAGCTTATACTCCAGGAAAAAAGTTGCTGCTTCATTGTACTTTTTATTGTTGGCAGGCTCGCCGTCTTGCTGCCTTGTCCCTGCCTCATCTTCCCCACCCTTTCGTGCTTTCCTCCGACGATTACCTCCTTCTCCAGCTTGTGATTTCCTTTTACGCTTCTCGGAAGCGCCGCCCGCCTTTTCCTCGTGGATGTCCTTAGCAACGGGAGTAATCCGCGTATTGGGATCACTAGAAGGGTCTCTAACTGCAGGCTTTCCTTCGGTAGCAAGTGCACCGGCGACCGCTTTGGATTTCTGATTCTTCGGGGATGTACTTCGTCCCGTTGCTGGCCTTTTTCCATTATTATCTTCTCTGCGACCACCACTACTAGTCTGCTCCACTGCACCTTTCATCTTTCGCATTGTGTTCGCTTGTCTCGCCATCTCTTGACGCACTGCATTCTTAGGACTGTGCTTCTGCTGCGAAGGCCAGCTCTTCGTCACCATCACCGACATCGTCGTTTCTCCCTCGTTGGCGTCACCGATATAGTCCTCGGCTCGAACGTCATTGCTGGAAGGTGTTCTATTCGGAGCGCACCTAGACATCGTCTTTGTATACCTGTCACTTTGGCAGTGCACCTTTAGTAGTTTAGGTGTGCCTGTCGGACGAGTTCTAGTTTCAGGATAACTTAGTGCAGGTAAAGTGCCACCGGCAGTGCACTTGGAAGGACCACGGACGTCCCCAATGCGCAACGCTCGACCCAATCTGACTGTCTTCCCCTGTACTTGACTCCTGCCCCCCTCTCTGCCCCCCCGCCCTCTCTGCCCCCCAGCCCTCCTGACCTCTGCCCGTCGTGCTAGCTCCCCGACCCTCCTCCCGCAGTTGCCTTCCCGATTGCCCTTCTGCCCCAGTCGAGTTGGACGATCGACCAAGGGATAAAGAGCGTCCTCCAGGAGCACTACTATACTCCCTCCTCGACGATGGTGTTTCTCGCTCAATATCAAACGACCCCTCAACCGCAGCAGGGTCATCTAACCTCTTGAAAACGTAATCAGGTGGAAGAGTGGGCTTGGATTTCTCTGTCTTCATGGCGAGATCGGGGTACTCAGGCGGAGCAGGAACTTGTTTTTTCAATCCATTTGTCATACCAAGAAAGTTGATGCAGAGAGTCATGTTCGAGCTATACCCGACGGAGTTTTCCTTAGTCACCATCACACCCTTGGCACCGTTTACAAGTTGTAAACAATGGCCATAGACGTTGTTGGTTCGAAGTTTAAACACGGTACCATGTTTGACCTTGCTAAATGAAAGAATGGCGTCGACGGGCCAAACCATGACATAAGGTTTCGCACTTGTGAAACAGTGGGCACTTTCCGATCTCCCATATCGATGAAGTCCAAGTACCAAAAATGAGTCAGGAGACATATATAACCCGTGTTTACACCCGCAGGCAAAGACGACGGATATGCGGCGGCCGACCCTATGACCAAGGGACGTTGGTCTGCAGCTCTCCTCGTGGGCTTCCCAGTTGGTGCAATTTTCTCCTTCTGTTCTTACGTGGAGATTATAACAGCTCACACTTGACAATTTGATAACTGCGAATATTCTCGCACTTCTTCCAACAATCATGTCACAGAAAAGATGAAAAAGGTGGAAATTTCTTCACTGATAACTGAGAATAGTGCAACAGCAATCAAGATTTGGAGCGCCTACAACTGGCGGTCTCCCCTCGATGCGGTTTCCAGTACTATTTTCGAAGTGCAAACTAACTCGGAGTTGTTGTAGTTTAGGATGACATGATATGGTTGGGACATGAAAGGAGAAAAGGAGAGAAGGAGACCAAGTATAGGAAGCGCAAATATAATCCGACTTCTTATAGTAGCATCACTGTCATAACCGTGAAAGTGAGAAATGACCACGATTAACAAAGTGGGAACTAACTCGGAGTTGTTGTACTTAGGGTGACACTGCACGATGCGAATGGATTCGGAGTTTGAGACTACTAGGGGGTATTAGGCACCCTCGCCTAGACACGAAAATCGAAGACAGTGCCAAGCAACTGAACAACTGAGAACTCTCACGTATGAGGTGAGGAACCGCGAATGTCTTCACAATTTGGGACTACTGACAGGCATAAGACGACCAAGTGAGAGACAAGGAACTCACAATTGCGATTTTACTCGGAGTTTAGGAGTTCTCAGGGGCATAAGACAACGGCGGAACTTCGCAGGAGCCGCGGCGGGTGAGATCCAAGAAATTTGAGTTCATGAAGTGCGAATCCGTTTGGGGTTTGAGACACCCTCGACCTATGTATCACCCGCAGCCGCGGCCGCGGGGTCAAACTCGGCGGGCGGCCGTGATCACGACCGCCTCCCCTCCGGCCATGATTGGGTGTGGCCGCGACTTTCAGGAATTTTTTTAGATTTAACAAAATTCTAAAAAATAAAAAGAAAAAATATGATGTTGTAGATCTTTTTGAGACTACATTGCGCAATGTTTTTTTGTTTTTTTTTAACTTCGTCTTCGAATTTTAAAAATTCAAAAACTAATTTTCCTGAGGCAAAAGCTTTTTTTTTTTTTTTTTTTTTTAAGAAAAACTATGAAACTTATGTGTTTTTTTATTTCAAATTCAGTGAAGTTTTTTGGATATGACCACAAGGCAAATGTTGTTCAATTTATTTTTCTGCATAACATAGTCTTTTTCTTTTTTTTTCTTTTTTTTTCTTTTTTTTTCTTTTTTCTTCTTTTTTTTTCATGGCCGCGACTCGCAGCCTAGGCCACGCATGGCCGCCGCCGGGGGGGATTCATAGCCCTCACCAAGACAGGGTAAATGGCGAGACAAGATAAACAACAACAGTCTCAAGCGAGATGACAAGTAGACGACGCTCAGCAACTGAGAACTCATGAATGCGAGTTGAGGAAGTATGAATTAATTCTCAATTCGACAATGCTCTGGGCATGAAACGACGTGGCGAGAGATAAGGAACTCACAATCGCAGATTAACTCGCAGTTCATGAGTCCTCAGGGACATGGGACGACATGGAGGACATAATTAATTTGAAATTCGACAATACTCAGGGGCATGAGATAACCTCACGAGAGATGAGGAACTCACAACTGCGGATTAACTCGCAGTTCACGAGTCCTCATTGGCATTTGACGACAAGGGGAGAGAGACAAGGAAATCAAAATTGCACATTACTCGCACTTCTACGAGCGACAGTGGCAAGTAGCATTCATTTTCAATTTTTCCTGATGACGTAGGCAACGGCCTGGTGAGAGATGGGGAATTCACAACTACGGATTAACTCACAGTTAACGAGTCTTCAGGGGCATTAGAGAGCATGGGCAGAGAGACGATGAAATCAAAATTGCAGATTAAATCGCACTTCACTAGCGACAGCGGAAAGCAGAAATCCTTTTCAGTTTTCCCTAATGACGCAAGCATTGATGTACATATACATACATATGACACATGTATTTATTTAGTTATATACATATATATGTATATATACATATATATATGCTCAACTAAATGCTCATCTAGAATGGGCAGCGTTAGAACATGGAGTTGTGGACGACATCTACGGATGTGTTGATGAATGGCTCAGATAGCATCTTACCTTTGTCACAAACCAAGGATAGACAGTGAAGCGAATCATCTATGGGGCAAAGCGGCTATGGCACACGGAGCTGTAGATGGCATCATATTTCTGCGAATGTGTTCGCAGCTCGACCAATGATAAGGAGTTAAGGAGATGAGATGAACGACTCATATAGCATCTTACCTTCGTCACGAAACAAGGACAAGTAATGGCATGAATCACCTATGGCGCTAACCAGCTATGCCGCTCAGAGATGTAGACAACATTTGCGAATGCGTTCACGAATCAGGGACAAGGAAGGGTGTGAATCACCTACGGCGAAAACCAGCTATGGCACTTGGAGTTGTAGACGTTATCTGCAAATGCACGCGTAGTTCTACCAATGATAAGGAATTGAGAGATGATATGAACGACTCAAATAATATCTTATTGTCGTCTCCAACTAAGGACAAGTGATGGGGCAAATCACATACGGCGCAAACCAGCAAGTGTGTGAACGAGCTATTGAGGGCGACAGGGTTGGTGGATATGCCCTACAAGTTAAGAAAGAAGAAGAGGTACCGGAACGGGCAGATGAATTTCGTGGTGGCACAAAACGGGATAGCGCGACTTCACCTCTAAGGCTACGATGCAAAAAAATGGGAATAAATATGGGCAGAAAATCCTTTTATACTATTCCACCAAAGGGACTTTCCTCTGCTGGATTGCCGTCGTCGATATCCCATAGGTTCGAAGGAAGATGTCGAGAGACCTTATGGAAGATCATTATTACGATGATGATATTCAAGGCCTAAATGTGGACATGTTTGCATAAAAAATACATGGAATAGCTTGTCTGAATCTCTTCGCTAAAACAATCTAGATTCGGGTACCTCTTTGTTGGTGGAACCTTCCCTCGGGATTTCACTGGTTCCAGCCCCCCCAATGGTTCCCGGTTCTAGCCAAAGGGATGTCAGTGGCTCCACAAATTGTCCACCGTGGATGTTGCAAACTTTAACGCGCACGATTTGTATAGCCACTGACATTCCAAGGCCCATTGGACTCTGCAAGTCCGTACTACAGAGATTTGACCGTGCTGCAAATTGTGGGACCACAAAGCTCATTTTGGTTGTCAAATGACTGATCGTCGACCGATGTAATTGAACATCCTTCATGGCTGTTGGTTCCATGCGATGGTTGGAACTAAGAAAGTCCATTGCCCACAGAGCGCATGTAGGCGGGCGGTTCGTTGGGCGCCAAGGTCTACAGACCCAATGGTTTTTAGCCCAGTAAGCGGATACTTGTCGAGACTCACATTTGTATGGTTTTCTTTTGTCTTTTTTTTGCTATTTTTTTTCTTTTTTCTATTTTTCTAAGAGGGAGACCTAGATTCGGCATTAAAAACATATAAACTTTCCACATAGTTTTCATTCGAACATTTTGCATCCCGCGCAACGCATATCGGCCTGCGCTAAAGATCGTGCACTATCGCTTTTCCATGTGAGTTCGACCTTCGCCATCGCTGCAAACGTCGAAACTCGCCATCGCTGTTGTCGTAGACCCTCGCCATCACCGCATCGTTGTTGTCGTGCATCACAATCGTTGTACTGCATCGACATCATTGTATCTCTGTCGTAGTGTCAATCATCATCGCTGTATCGTTGTCGTCGTGCCAATCGCCATCGTTGCATCGTCATCGCTCCACTTGTGCGCCATGCTGAAGTCGTGTGCCATCTCCATCGCTGCAGGCGTACGTCATTGCAATCGTTGCAGTTGTGCGCCCCATGTTGGTTGTTCTTGCAGTTTCGTCTTCTTCATAGCTGCAATGGCACAGTCGCCATTGCGCTTTGTCATCCCTCTTGTCCCATCAATCGTCAATGTCATTGTTGTTGTCATAGAACTTCGTCGATATCAATCTTGTCGCGCTATTGTCATCGCCCTTGCTGCAGTCGCCTGGTCGTTTTCACTTCTTGTCCTCGTTGCGCTGCGTATCGTGACCCTCATCTTTGTAGTTTCGCGTTCGTTGTTGTTTCCTTTGGCGTTCGCCATCACTATGAAACGCTCTATTCACTGTTCATCGGCAGCAAACGTTAGGTATGTCGAGGAGCTTGTGCACGAATGACTCGT